GCGGTATGAAAATAATCGAGTCTGGACCAGACAATCCAATGGTTGACAGCATGAACACCGATTTAACTAAAAGTCTCGAACGCAAAACAATGTAGGGGTTAATATCATTACCCAGAATCCCGTTGGGCACATTCATTAATTGATTACGGTTGGTTCGTCGATAATATGGCGGAACACTGTAGTCAGAACCCGCCCCCTCTAATAGTGAACGAGTGAATTTTACGCCGCTTTTTATCAATATTCCACCAATATAACGACGAGGGATCACAACCCGTCCTTAACAGAAACAAAAACAGAAGCATAAAAAAAGCAACCAAAAGCAACAATCAACACACAAAATAAACAAATAAAGTAAATAAAAAAAATTAAAAACTCGCAAATCCGTAATTTTCCCTAACCCCGGCAACGTTCTTGATAAAATGATAATGCTGATGATAATGCTGATGATGTTTGGCGTGTGCATCCTTGTACAAGGTGTGCTTCACTGATTGCTTGATAACGCTGCAGGTGTTCTTTTTCAACTGAGTTCCACTGAGTCACAGGTTTCATATTAAACATATAGCACGTCAGGTGATTTTGTTCTATCCACATCCAGCTATATACTGTGGCAGCATAAATGGTCAATTTGAATTGTTAGAGACGTGAGGTGATTTTTAAAATAAATCCACATCCAGGTGTAAAAGTAAACGATTGCCATTCAAGCCGGCAATTTATGCCTGAATGCATGCATGATGCACGTACAGCTCAATTTCAATGTTTTGTTTGTGCGAAACCTCAATCTGAAACAATACTTTATTGGGCAGAAGAGGCCATACGACCTCGATTCATGTTTTCCTCAAACTTGAATTTCGGTGAATATTTAAAAAAAATTTTTAAAAGGATGAAATACTCTATTGATACTTCAATGTCATTTCCAATATTACGACGTTTCTATTGCCTTCTAGTCTACTTATATCAAATTACGGTATTGAAAAAAGGTAATTTTACGTTAAAATATTAACAGAATATCAACATGGTGTTGAAAACGTGGAAAGTCATTCAATACCTTCATTGCTCTTCATGTGCCATGGTGGCGGGGGTCAATTTGCCCTGTGGTATGGACCACTGTGCCTTGATGACGTGGGACCTTGTGTCCTGATGAAGGGGATTATTGTGCCCTGATGGTGTGGTCCATTGTGCCCTGATGTCGTGGGACCTTGTGTCCTGATGTCGTCGGACCTTGTTCCCTGATGTCGTGGGACCTTGTGCCCTGATGTCGTCGGACCTTGTGCCCTGATGTCGTGGGACCTTGTGCTCTGATGTCGTGGGACCTTGTGTCCTGATGTCGTGGGACCTTGTGCCCTGATGGTGTGGTCCATTATGCCCTGAAGGCGTGGGACCTTGTGTCCTGATGTCGTGGGACCTTGTGCCCTGATGGTGTGGTTCATTATGCCCTGAAGGCGTGGGACCTTGTGTCCTGATGTCGTGGGACCTTGTGCCCTGATGAAGGGATTATTGTGCCCTGAAGGCTTGGGACCTTGTGTCCTGATGTCGTGGGACCTTGTGTCCTGATGAATGGGATTATTGTGCCCTGATGGTGTGGTCCATTGTGCCCTGATGTCGTGGGATCTTGTGTCCTGATGTTGTGGGACCTTGTACCCTGATGTCGTGGGACATTGCGTCCTGATGTCGTGGGACCTTGTGCCCTGATGTCGTGGGACCTTGTGCCCTGATGTCGTGGGACCTTGTGCCCTGGTGTCGTGGGACCTTGTGTCCTGATGAAGGGGATTATTGTGCCCTGATGTCGTGGGACCTTGTGCCCTGGTGTCGTGGGACCTTGTGCCCTGGTGTCGTGGGACCTTGTGTCCTGATGTCGTGGGACCTTGTGCCCTGATGTCGTGGGACCTTGTGTCCTGATGTCGTGGGACCTTGTGCCCTGATGTCGTGGGACCTTGTGCCCTGATGTCGTGGGACCTTGTGCCCTGATGTCGTGGGACCTTGTGTCCTGATGTCGTGGGACCTTGTGCCTTGATGTCGTGGGACCTTGTGCCCTGATGTCGTGGGACCTTGTGCCCTGATGAAGGGGATTATTGTGCCCTGAAGGCGTGGGACCTTGTGCCCTGATGTCGTGGGACCTTGTGCCCTGATGAAGGGGATTATTGTGCCCTGAAGGCGTGGGACCTTGTGTCCTGATGTCGTGGGACCTTGTGCCCTGATGAAGGGGATTTTTATGCCCTGATGTCGTGGGACCTTCTGTCCTGATGTCGTGGGATCTTGTGTCCTGATGTCGTGGGACCTAGCGTCCTGATGTCGTGGGACCTTGGGTCATGATGTCGTGGGACCGTATGCTCTGATGGAGGGGATTATTGTGCCCTGATGTCGTGGGACCTTGTGCCCTGATACCGTGGGACCTTGTGCCCTGATGTCGTGGGACCTTGTGCCCTGATGTCGTGGGACCTTGTGCCCTGATGAAGGGGATTTTTATGCCCTGATGTCGTGGGACCTTCTGTCCTGATGTCGTGGGATCTTGTGTCCTGATGTCGTGGGACCTAGCGTCCTGATGTCGTGGGACCTTGGGTCATGATGTCGTGGGACCGTATGCTCTGATGGAGGGGATTATTGTGCCCTGATGTCGTGGGACCTTGTGCCCTGATACCGTGGGACCTTGTGCCCTGATGTCGTGGGACCTTGTGCCCTGAAGGCGTGGGACCTTGTGCCCTGATGTCGTGGGACCTTGTGCCCTGATGTCGTGGGACCTTGTGCCCTGATGGCGGGGGTCATTGTGCCCTGATGTCGTGGGATCTTGTGCCCTGATGTCGTCGGACCTTGTGTCCTGATGTCGTGGGACCTAGCGTCCTGATGTCGTGGGACCTTGTGTCCTGATGTCGTGGGACCTAGCGTCCTGATGTCGTGGGACCTTGGGTCATGATGTCGTGGGACCGTATGCTCTGATGAAGGGGATTATTGTGCCCTGATGTCGTGGGACCTTGTGCCCTGATGTCGTGGGACCTTGTGTCCTGATGTCGTGGGACCTTGTGCCCTGATGTCGTGGGACCTTGTGCCCTGAAGTCGTGGGACCTGATGTCGTGGGACCTTGTGTCCTGATGCCGTGGGACCTGATGTCGTGGGATCTTGAGTCCTGATGTCGTGGGACCTGATGTCTTGGGACCTTGTGTCCTGATGTCGTGGGAGCTGATGTCGTGGGACCTTGTGTTCTGATGACGTGGGGCCTGATATCGTGGGACCTGGTGTCCTGATGTCGTGGGACCTTGTGCCCTGATGTCGTGGGACCTTGTGTCCTGACGGCGTGGGACCTTGTGCCCTGATGGTTTGGTCCATTATGCCCTGAAGTCGTGGGACCTTGTGTCCTGATGTCGTGGTCCATTATGCCCTGAAGGCGTGGGACCTTGTGTCCTGATGTCGTGGGACCTTGTGTCCTGGTGTCGTGGGAGCTTGTGTCCTGATGTCGTTGGACCTGATGTCGTGGGACCTTGTGTCCTGATGTCGTGTGACCTTGTGTCCTGATGCCGTGGGACCTTGTGACCTGATGTCATGGGACGTGAAGTCGTGTAACTTTGTGACCTGATATCCTGGGACCTGATGTCGTGGGACCTTGTGTCCTGATGTCGTGGGATCTTGTGCCCTGATGTCGTGGGGCCTTGTGTCCTGAAGGCATGGGACCTTGTATCCTGATGTCGTGGGACCTTGTGTCCTGAAGGCATGGGATCTTGTGTCCTGATGTCGTAGGACCTTGTGTCCTGATGTCGTGGGACCTGATGTCGTGGGACCTTGTGTCCTGATGTCGTGGGACCTTGTGCCCTGAAGGCGTGGGACCTTGTGTCCTGATGTCGTGGGACCTTGTGTCCTGATGTCGTGGGACCTTGTGTCCTGATGTCGTGGGACCTGATGTCGTGGGACCTTGTGTCCTGATGTCGTGGGACCTTGTGCCCTGAAGGCGTGGGACCTTGTGCCCTGATGTCGTGGGACCTTGTGCCCTGATATCGTGGGACCTGGTGTCCTGATGTCGTGGGACCTTGTGCCCTGATGTCGTGGGACCTTGTGTCCTGAAGGCGTGGGACCTTGTGCCCTGATGTCGTGGGACCTTGTGTCCTGATGTCGTGGTCCATTATGCCCTGAAGGCGTGGGACCTTGTGTCCTGATGTCGTAGGAACTTGTGCCCTGATGTCGTGGGACCTTGTGTCCTGAAGGCATGGGACCTTGTGTCCTGATGTCGTGGGACCTTGTGTCCTGATGTCGTGGGACCTTGTGTCCTGATGAAGGGGATTATTATGCCCTGGTGGTGTGGTCCTTTGTGCCCTGATGGTGTGGGTCATTGTGCCCTGATGGTGTGGGTCATTGTGCCCTGATGGTGTGGACCATTGTGTCATGATGGCGGGGTCATTGTGTCATGATGGCGTGGGTCATTGTGCCCTGATGGCGTGGACCATTGTGTCATGATGGCGGGATCATTGTGCCCTGATGGAGGGGGTCATTGTGCCATGATGGCGGGGGTCATTGTGCCCTGATGGCGGGGTGATTGTGCCCTGATGGGGGGGTCATTGTGCCCTGATGGCGGGGTGATTGTGCCCTGATGGCGGGGGTCATTGTGCCCTGATGGCGGGGTCATTAGTGATGGGGGTCATTGTGACCTGATGGTGTGGGACCTTGTGCCCTGATGGCGGAGGTCATTGCGTTGTTATTGCGTGGACCATTGTGCCCTGATAATGGGGGTTATTTTGCCCTGATGGTGCGGGTCATTGAGCCCTAATGGCGTGGGTCATTGTGCCCTGATTGCGTGTGTCAATGTGCTCTGTGGAAGCACCTGATGGTGTAAGTGACTGCTCGTTGTTTTGTCATATACCTGGTCGGACTTACTTGAACGCTGCGAATAGTCCAGAGTGCCGCGATAAAACAACATCCACAAGCAATCCCAAATCCTTACATTAATGAAATTGTATACACATTTTCCACAATGGAAAATTATTTAGTATTGGCATTTGCTGTAAATATAACAGAAAACGTTTCAGTCTTGCTAAATTTATTTGTCAGTCTAGTTGGGTAGCGTCTGAAATAAAATAAATACCTATGAAATTCATGTGACTTGTTATGCTCTGCATCTGAGTACGAGAATTAGAGACACATCATTCAACCGTGAACATCTGGGTTACAGTTGGACAAGATGGGCTGGTGTCAAAGCATGAAAGTAGGTGCAAAACGATTATCTTTATGATAACATACAAACTCTCTCTCTCTCTCTCTCTCTCTCTCTCTCTCTCTCTCTCTCTCTCTCTCTCTCTCTCTCTCTCTCTCTCTCTCTCTCTCTCTCTCTCTCTCTCTCTCTCTCTCTCTTCCTCCAGTACCTACCACTGTCCGCCATTCCTCCGTCTTCAGTTGCTGCGAGTAGCTTCCTCCAACACCATCCTGCCACACATGCAGTGGTTGCGGTTTCTCTTCTGGGGCGCTTGTGCTTGAAAAAAAAGACGCAGTAGAAGTAGAGTAGTAGTAGTAGTAGTAGTAGTAGTAGTAGTAGTAGTAGTAGTATAGTAGTAGTAGTAGTAGTAGTAGTAGTAGTAGTAGTAGTAGTAGTAGTATAGTAGTAGTGGTAGTAGTAGTAGTAGTAGTAGTAGTAGTAGTAGTAATCTTTTGTTTGCTTGACGTTTAGCGTCGCACTCAGGGATATTCCAGACAATATCCCTGTACATAAATAATCGAGTCTACGCAATTGGGATACGATGACATGTGTCAACCACGTCAGCGGCCCTGACCATCCGATCCCGTTAGTCACCTCTTACGACAAGCATGGGTTACTGAAGATTTATTGTTAAATATATGAAGAATCACATTTCGTTTCATCCCCACTAGTTTCCGAAAATATTATTTTTGTTAGTGGTATGCTTGTCAGTTGAGGAGAGAGTTATCTCGCTTAGTAACCTCGGATGAAAAGCACAAACACAACCCTGTGTTCCAACACGGGAAAAACAAGTCGAAACTCATACAAAACACAAGCTTGTGTATCCATTTGGAATAAAGGAAGAACAGAAGAACGCAAGCACCGGAATTAAGTCTTTTTGTTCTCTCACGAATATTTATTCTAACCTGGATCTTCACGGATAGTAGTAGTAGTAGTAGTAGTAGTAGCAGCAGTAGTAGCAGTAGTAGTAGTAGTAGTAGCAGTAGTAGTAGTAGTAGTAGTAGTAGTAGTAGTTCTATGAAAGATCTAGCTACAAACATTGCTCTTAAATTTCATTGTGTGCTTTGTACATTCACGACCACCATCATCATCATCATCATCAGTGAAATATATCACAACAGTATTCGCTCAACTAAATCCAGAGTATATTGTTTCCACGGCAGCCAAATATGGACACATCATTTTAATATATATTTTGAAGGGGACATGCCATGTTTCCATGGACTGTTCTAATTTGACATTCCAAGTGCAATCACAATGTAGAAGTATCTAACAAAACATCTGAAAATTTCAACATGGCATTGTCAAGTTTGAAATTAGTATTAAACAAAATTTCTAAAGAATAGTTTTCTGACTCTGGTGGTCTACCTGAAAAAATGAATATCCTTTCAGCCAATATTAGCTGAAAGAGACTATTAACACAGTTCATAAAAGCTAGTTCATGCATTTAAAAAGAAAATGGAAGAACGTTTCTTCCGAAAAGAAAATATTATGACCCTGATGGTTTGCCGTAGGTCCACTATCTGACAATGGGTACCTACCTGCACGCTGTGCAGCCGCCAACAACTGCTCCGTGCCAACGAGACCATCACCTGAATTTAAATTACATGTATTTAAATGAAGGGCTCCGTGGTATTTTAGCGTCGAAGAAGGAAGAGTTAACTTCAAATAAATTCAAATAAAACCTAATTGTTAGCACACAATTTGTCTCGTTCGTGACATTAAAATCAACAACCAGTTCGAATCCCCTTTCTGGACGCGAACTCAGAACAACCTTAATTCCAGGATCAATAAGGGATAGGAGCGAGCCACCATTTACCCAAGAATCAGAAGTTCGTTTTCGCAGAAGTGCATGGCGTAATTTTAGGTGATGTAAGGACAAGGTGATGTGGAAGACAGGATGGATGTTGTCTCTTTTTCGAAAAAATATAAAGAGCAAGAAAACAATAAAAAACACGAATCACATTACGAGTCGCCATTACGGTTTCGTTAAAAAGTGCAACCTCTGGCTGGAAATTAAAAAGAGGAATCGATCCGAATTGTTTGTGTCTTTACAACATATTTACGTTTGTTCATTGAGTTTTGCATGAATTTCTCCAGGAGTGGATCATCCTCATCAACGTCAAGCAAGGTAGAAACATCTCGTTTGCCAAATTTTCTGGATCTCAAGAAATCCCTCAGCAATTTGACGAGGTCCTTCTGAACCATGTTGCAATGGCAGTGGTTTCTGTTTATGGTGGTTGTTCTCACTCGGTAGCGCCGTCGCCTACGACGCCGACGAAAAAACCATCCTTCGCCTTCCTCCGGGATGAGCATCAACATCACCAGCAGCAGGACCAGTGTCGGGCGAAACATCATCATGCAAAAACCTGTATAACACTCTCAGAGATTTTGGTCCCGTGGAAGAAGAGTGGACAAGATTGGTCAACCCACTTGTCATTCATTCATTCATTCATTCATTCATTCATTCATTCATTCATTCATTCATTCATTCATTCATTCATTCATTCATTCATTCATTCATTCATTCATTCATTCATTCATTCATCTAAATGGGTGGTGATGTATGTCCCGACCAAAGCTGTCGGTAATTCATATACATCAGTAAGTAAGGAGACGTCTGTATAGTGCTGAGCGGTATTATACAGGTGTAGTCTAGTGTTTAAAGTGTTGTGAAGTGAAGTATAGTTCTATGTTCAGTTCCACAGGTGAGAAGCCCATTTCTTGGTATAATGCTGATAACGGGGTAAAACTTGGTGTGTAAAACATAAGTAATTCAAATTTAAAACTATTGCAAAAATATGCAGTCCCTAAAGTTAAATTGACAGACTATTTAGCTTTATAGATTCCACCCTACCCAATAACTGCACCATGTAAAATGTTATTTAAACGTCTACATTGCAACGAAATGTCAAATGTCAAATGTCCGAATTGAGGAGGGACAGAGAAAAAGCTTTCAGCGTAATGGACAATGGGCACACACGCCTACATCCGTTCGTTCAATGAAACGCCACATAAATAGTGTGATTAAACACCCTACTTCAAGGCCAGCAACAACTCTCCGGGGCACAGAAAAAGTCGCTCATACTGTTAACGTAGCAGCAGCACACATCTGTGTGAAACATAAGATCTGATATTTGTATCTTCTTTGTATTTAAACATAACTCGACAATTTCTGTTTACTTAGTGAGTGAGTGAGTTTGGTTTTACGCCGCTTTTAGCAATATTCCAGCAATATCACGGCGGGGGACACCAGAAATGGGCTTAACACATTGTACCCATGTGGGGAATCGAACCCGGGTCTTCGGCGTGACGAGCGAACGCCTTAACTGCTAGGCTACCCCACCGCCCCTTCTGTTTACTGACTATAGCAAGACAGTATGCGTTACCAGCATCATTCATTGCACGTTACCGATATCCAGACTTTGAGTTACCAACATCCTGGCGCGATTTTAAAAAGGCTTATTCTTCAACACATAGGCATTAAAAAGCAAAATCAGTGCATTGAATGTATTTCCACCGTCAAAGTTTATCAGTGTGCTAAATAATGTTGATTGTATACAGGTGGAAGACTGCTAATTCGAGGGGAATAATCGCCAAGCGATCTCACCTGCCGCCATGTTGGGATGCTGGTTATGTTACCAGCATCACCTTAGGTACAGTGATCGTATGAAAATTTGCCATGTGAGATAAATATTTATTGCCTATGAGCGCGAACATATCAGGGTGCCGTTGTACAAAACAACCTTAGGGCTAAGGCTACCTTAAGTCTATGTTAAGGCATGGGAGTTAGCCTTAGCGCTAAGATCGTTTTGTACAACGGCACCCTGATATGTTCGCGCTCATAGGCAACACATATTTATCTCACATGGCAAATTCTTTTGCGCATAAAACAACATAGAAATTGTAGGAATTTACTGCGAGAATATTTCAAGTTGTAAGGAATACAGAGAACTTGAAATTTGACACTTACGTCACATCTATGGCGTCGCAGTATGCAGTTTGGCGCCATGAAAGTCACATGTCTACCCGAGCTAGCATTTGTTATTCTCGTTAATAGTTGGTTTTTCTGTGTCCTTATGATGAGATGGACTCAAATGTTGTTGTGCTCAATGGACTTGATTTAAAGTTACTGTCAAAAAGTATTCTTTAGTTTGGATTTTATTTTATTTTATTTTATTTTATTTTTATTTATTCTTTTTTTTTTGGGAGAATCGAACTCTTCAGATCCCTGGCCTCTGGCACGCCTACCCGCCATGATATTGCTGGAATATTGCAAAAAATGAGCGTAAAACTAAACTCACTCAATCATTCTGGGACGGCTTGAGCACGGCTTGAGTCTTGTTGTCATTCGGGCAAACAACCGTCTTAAAACAATTTCTAAGATGCCAAGCGGTTACAACAATAAAAAAAAATAAAAATTACATTATCAGACAATAAAGGTATAGTTTTATAATGACGTAACAATTGAATGAAGTTATCCCGCTGTTCCCCGCTGCCCCCTCGTAGTCACGTGTGTCCATGGTACTACCGTCCTCGTGCTTTAATTATAATAGTTCAGGGCAAAACTATACTTTATTACAAAACACATTGGGGTAGAGCGAACTTTATTTCCTAAATGAAAAATGTTGGCGTTTTAATTTGTCAGGTTTGAATTGGACATTCTGTAACTTTCAATATAGAGCGTGGTTACCTGTAAATTTAAATCCCGCCGTAATATTACTGGAATATTGCAAAAAGCGGCGTAAAACTAAATTCACTCACTCAGTCTTTCACGGCCTGTGCATACACACAAGGGCTGGCTAAAATTATCGATAATCGAAAATATCG